CTTGGCGTTGAGATGGAGATCTCTGGGAGATTTTCGCTATTTGACATTACGTGGATCTGGGAGGTCTCATGTGGACCGGTGTTATGAAGTTGGCTCTCCCACCTCAGAGGCAAAGCACTGACTCCTGGCTGGAGCACCAAGAGCCTTTCATCCACATGGCTCAGAATAAAAGGGAGAAAAAGTAGGAAGAAAGAAAGAGGATAAAATAAAATAAAGTAAGATAAAAAATAAAGTTATTAAAATAAAAAATAATTATTAAGAAAAAAATTTTAAGTAAAACAAAACAAAAAAATTAGATGGACAGTACCCTAGGAGAAATGGTGATAGCAAAGCTATACAGACAAAATCTCACACAGAAGCATATACATACACACTCACAAAAAGAGCAAAAGGGAAAAAAATAATATATCTTGTTCTGAAAGTCCACCTCCTCAATTTGGGATGGTTCATTGTCTTTTCAGGTATTCCACAGATGCAGGGTACATCAAGTTGATTATGGAGATTTAATCCGCTGCTCCTGAGGCTGCTGGGAGAAATTATTCTCTTTGTTCGCACAGCTCCCGGAGTTCAGCTTTGGATTTGTCTCTGCCTCTGGGTGTATGTCGCCTGAGGATGTCTGTTCTTCGCTCAGGGAGGACGGGGCTAAAGGAGCAGCTGATTCGGGGGCTTTGGCTCACTCAGGCCAGGGGGAGGGAGGGGTACGGGGTGAGCCTGTGGTGACAGAGGCCGGCGTGACGTTGCACCAGCCTGAGGTTTACCGTGCGTTCTCCCAGGGAAGTTGTCCCTGCATCAGGGCACCCTGGCAGTGGCAGGCTGCACAGGCTCCCAGGAAGGGTGGTGTGGATAGTGACCTGTGCTCGCACACAGGCTTCTTGGTGGCGGCAGTAGCAGCCTTAGCATCTCATGCCCATCTCTGGGATCCGCACTGTTAGCCACAGATCGCGCCCATCTCTGGAGCTCCTTTAAGCAGCGGTCTTAATCCCCTCTCCTCGCGCACCAGGAAACAAAGAGGGAAGAAAAAGTCTCCTGTCTCTTTGGCAGGTCCCGACTTTTCCCCGGACTCCCTCCCAACTAGGCGTGGTACACTCACCCCTTCAGGCTGTGTTCACGCCACCAGTCCTCTCCCTGCGCTCTGACCGAAGCCCAAGCCTCAGCTCCCAGTCCCGCCCACCCCGGCGGGTGAGCAGACAAGCCTCTCGGGCTGGTGAGCGCCGGTCGGCCCTAATCCTCTGTGCGGGAATCTCTCCGCTTTGCCCTCCGCACCCCTGTTGCTGCGCTCTCCTCCGCGGCTCCGAAGCTCCCCGCTCCGCCACCCGCAGTCTCCGCCCTTGAAGGGGTTTCCTAGTGTGTGGAAACCTTTCCTCCTTCATGGCTCCCTCCCAGTGGTGCAGGTCCCCTTCCCTATTATTTTGTCTGTGTTTTTTCTTTTTCCCTACCCTGGTTCGTGGGGAGTTTCTTGCCTTTTGGGAGGTCAGGGGTCTTCTGCCAGCGTTCAGTGGGTGTTCTATAGGAGCAGTTCCACGTGTAAATGTATTTCTGATGTATCTGTGGGGAAGCAGGTGATCTCCACGTCTTACTCTTCCACCATCTTCCCTCTGCCCCAAAATGTTTGGCTTTGATGACCAGTGAGACTTACTTTCAGGAGACCCAGAAGGCTGTGGGAAATAGAGCAGTAATTTGAAAGAAGCCAGGGTCAGACCCACCTGCTGATCTTGTAGAGCTTCCTGGAGAGGCAGGAGGCAACTGGAGCTGACCCTGGGGACATAGGCAAAATGAGTCAGATGTAGAAAGAAAAATATCATATGATTTCATTTATATGTGGAATTTAAAAACTAAACAAATGAAAAACATAACAAAGAGAAGCAGAGTCATAGATACAGAGAAAAAACAGGTGGTTGCCAGAAGGGAAAGGTTGGGGGAAGAGAAAAATAGGTGAGGGAGATTAATAGGTACAAACTTACAGTTGCAAAATAAATGAGTCACAGGTATGAAATGTAGAGTGTGGGGAATATAGTCAATAACTATATCAATGACTATGTAATATATTTCTGTGTAACTAGACTTATGGTGGTGATCATTTTGGTATGTATAGAAATAGTGAATCACTGTGTCATGTAATAGGAACTAACATAGCGTTGTCAATCAATTATACTGCAAACAAACAAACTCAGAAAAAGAGAACCAATTTGTGGTTACCAAAGGCAGGGGGTGGGGGGATGGGAATTGAATGAGGTTAATTAAAAGGTACACATTCTAGGGAAATAATGTACCACATGATAAATACAATTAACCCTGCTGTATCCTAAGCGTTCTCATCACAAGGAAAAAAATTTTTAATATTTCTTTAATTTTGTATCTATATGAGATGGTGGATGTTCACTATACTTACTGTGGTGTCACTTCATGAGGTTTGTATATCAAATCACTTTGCTGTACACCTTAAACAGATAAAGTGCTATGTGTCAATTATATCCCAATAAAACCAGAAGAAAGGATAAAGAAATGATTTGGACAGTTAATTTTACTGTTATTGACTTCTGATTTAATTCCATGGTGGTCAGAGTGCCTACTTTGTATGATTTCAGTTCCTTTCCCTCATTCCCTCACCCCACATAATTATGAGACAACACAGGACCTTTATATAAATTAAAACTGATGTCAGTATATCAGTCTCAGAGAGGGATCAAAATGGCAGAGTAGGAGGACATGGAGCTCACCTCCCCACACAAACACATCCAAAATACATCTACAAGTGGAACAAAACTACTATACATAAAATAAATTAGCAACAAGAACCTATAAGTTCCCTGCATAGCACTGGGAACTATATTCAATATTTTATAATAATCTATAATGGAAAAGAATCTGAAAAAAATAACTGAATCACTATGATGTAAGCCTGAAACTAGCACAATACTATACTTAAACTATACTTCAGTTAAATACACACACACACACACACACACACGTGTGTGTGTGTGTGTGTGTGTGTGTGTATGTTTTGGGACCAGCAGGCAGCACCACAGTGGGGTGACCACCTTACCTGCCATCCCTACTCATCGACACAGTTTCTCTTACTTTACTCAGAAGGCAGTTTGCAGTAGCTCCTGCCAAGAGATTTCCTCTCACTTTCAGTGTTAAGCGTACTGTGTCTGGGTAAGATGTTAATATTAGGAGAAGGTTAGTGGAGGCCATACTTGAACTCTATCTTTTCAACTTTTCTGTAAATCTGAAGTTAATACAAAGTAAGGCCATGAAATAGGTGATCATTACCTCAGCTGTCTCCTATAATTGAGAGTTTCATAAAGGGAAAATGGAAATAATACATTTAATTCAGTTTGCATTGGTTTAACCTAAAGGAGTAAAAGAAAAGCTCTGTTAATAATTTCTCATTTTTAAGTTCAAGTAAACAGGACAGTAATGGTTCCATTATTTTAGGACATGAGAATGAAAATTGCTAAAAGTTGTAGGTTTAGATCAGAGACTCTTGTGAGAAAGTAGTGAAGGTGGCCTATGAAGCCAGATTTCAAAACAAGTGAGGACACAGGAGCATTGAATTATAAAGCAACTGTATATAAATCATGGTGTCTTTCAGTGAGTCTGCATGGATGAGAGAATATTTATAGATGCAGAAATCTTCATATGCTCTTAGGATCAGAAGGAAAACCTAGTAATAAGAGATTTTGGATGCTGGAAATAGGAGACAATGGATTTGATACTTTCCTAAAGGAAGTAGGGGTAGGTAGATTAAAGACCATGCAGGTGAGGAACTTGGCTGTGATTTAGAGAAGGTAAACAAAATGTACAGTGATCATCATGCACTCATCACCCAGCAGTTCCTGACTTGGTTTCATCTACACCCCTGCCCACTTGCCCCCTCCCATATTGTTTGTGAAGCAGATCCTCAACAGGTATAATTTCATCCATATATATTTTAGTATGTGTCACTAAAAAATCCCCTTTAAAAAATAACAAGCACCAGTTTTACCACTAAAAATAATAATTCCTAATGTCACCAAATACCCGGTCTCTGTTCGAAAGTCCAATTAGTTCATATATGTAAGAAATGATTTTATTTTCTTACAGTTTGTTTGAAGCAATATATAAAGAAGTTCAAACCATTATAATCAGACAATATCTCTTAAGTCTTTATAATAGACTTCTTTTTCCCTTTACATTCATGTATTGAAGAATCTAGATCATTTGTCCTTGACTTAGTTCTGGCTGTTATAAGAAAATACCATAGACTGGGTGGCCTAAACAGTGAACATTTACTTCTCACAGTTCTGGAGGCTGGGAGGTCCAGGTCAAGGTGCAGCATAAATCTACCACTTACTAGTTGTATGTTCTTTGTCAAATAACCCTTTGAAACCCTTCTGAGTGTCATGTAGTTGTAATATGAAGCAGCCTCGATGGCACCTTCTGGAGATGGGCACTGCCACCCACTGTCACGATGCTGGCCGCCCTGCTGCTACCCACTCATTGGTGCTGCCATGATCTCCAGTGGGAGCCTTTGTCAGTATCTCCCGGGGCTGTTGCTTTTTTTTCCCACCAGCAATGTAGGAAGCCCATAGTATAGAAGCAGTATAATACACATATAGAGACATATAAGTTTGGGGACAAAGAGCTGATATTTCATTTGTTTAGAGTCTAGAAGGAAAGTATAGACCCACCACTTCCCTTATGTCCCAACTTGATTACAGGTTCATTTCTGAAATAGGTTGGACACATAGTGATTAATTTTGAAAATGGTTGGACCAGGGATAGCTACCAGTATATGGAGGACTCTTGTCAGCTGCTAACATCTGAGTCCAAAAACCCTAACATGAAACCTTAAGAGAACTACTGTTGGTGCCTGAGGAGTTGAGTCCTCTCGGTAATAATAGCTGCATGAATGAAATCAGCATTTGGATGGGGAAAGAATATCCCATATTGGAAAGTAATCATAGCTTTTATACTTGTGTGTGTGTGTTTGTGTGTGTGTGTGCATGCTTTGACAGCTTTTTGGAGACTACAGCCTATTTCTTCATGAGACCAAAAATTGGAGAGAAGGAAGTGTCGCCAAATGTTTTCTTCAGTATCTGGCATGAATTCAGCTCCGACTTTAAAGACTTTTGGAAGAAAGAAAACAAACTTATTCTACAAGAGAGGTAGGTGTTTTTCATTTACACAGTGGCATTTTGAAACGTGTTTTCTCGGGTGTGGCCAATTAGGGCTTGCCAACTTTTATAGCCTGAATGAAAAATTGGGTTCTAACCCTGGGTGTCCAGTCTGAGAAGGTGCTGAGATCGGACAGTATTTGCAGCCTGAGTAAGAAAAGTCAGCACAATGGTTGTGATGCTACAAAGGACAGCTAGAGTGATGGTTTGCCAGGACCACCTTCTGGTAAAACAGCTTCTGTGATGAGGAGGCCACACAGAAGCAAACAATGTAAGAACAGGAGTGAAAGAACACTGCCAAGATGACAAACCCACTCACTTCAAAAGACCATAAGGTAAGATGGATCAGTTTGGTTTTATTTTTGCTCAATTCATTAGACACTGTCAAAATTTCACCATTCATATCGAAAGTTCTCCCAGGTGTCACCAAGAAACTGATGATCAATATTTTTTAAAAGATTTTTCAAGAATCTTAGATCATATCACGTTTCCTAAAGTAAATTCTTTCAGGAATGAAGGGAAGTTTCTCTTCTTAAGTACATGAAATAGAGTCTCTGTCACTTGATTATGAAGGTCACAGAGGTGTCCTGTTACCAAGTCAGGAAGCAGGCTGGCCCATGAACGGCAGCATCCCGAAGTAGCTGGGTCTGGAGGGAGAAGGAAAAAGGAAAAGGAAACCAAACCCTAATCCTGAACCAATTGGTGGGCTTTCCAACATCCTGGCCCTAACAAGGACTTTGCTTTAGAAAACTTACCTCCTAAGGGACTTTATTCATCAGAGCACAAAATTCCACAGTTTTCTGCTTATCATCGTCATTTTGGTCTTGCTTACATACAGAACCACGCTCGCCCGCCTAGTCTTCATCTGTAAGTAGATTCTCATCCATCCTTAAATCAGGTGAGGTTAATTGTGGACACGTCCTGAGCATGTGGACTGTGCCTGGCTTGTGCTCACTCACAGAATTACCTACCTAGAACCCAGGCTCCATCAGAGAAGGGAGTCTGCTTCAGCGAACAATGGATGCAAAAAGAGAGCAGTCAGAGCAGAAGGAAAACACTGAGCTTATTCTACCGCAAAACACATCACCAGGAGTTAACATAAAAGATGAGATGTTAGTCAGAAGTCCATGCGGGTGAGACAGGAGGGAGAATCCTGTAAACACGGGCTCATGGACCACCGTTCATTTCTTTCAGACTTAGCTGTATGTTTCCAGTTTTTCACCCAGCAAGGCTTGCTCAGTTTGGACAACGGTGAGGAGGAAACTGGTTTTAACGTCAGCATGTCACAGACAACCTCCCTTCCTGACGCCACTACTCCCCACGTGCCTTCTTCAGCTCTGATCTAAGCCTGGGCCGCTAGGAAGGGACTGGGGCTCGTTCACACTCAGGAACAAAACGGAAAGATCAGTGTTTCACTTTGCGAGGGAGCTGAGACGATCCTGATGAGAGTGGGCATGGTGGGCTATAGGCAAGGACAGGGCAGGAGTGAGGAGACTGCAGTTGGGGGGCAGCTGCCCTGAGGGCACATGATGAGGCAGTGAATTGCAGCAGGGGCCGCAGGCCCTGTGGAGGTGGCGCGAGATGGCAGGGGGACTGTCATTTGAGCTCCCATTACTGCATGGCCTGTAGGGAAGCTGCTGAGAGGCCCCCATGGAGGTGATGTCAGGAAGGAGCAGCCATTTGCAGCCTGTGCTCTCTGAGATACAGTTGTGTTACCAGGCAGCACTATGGATAACAGTCCACTGTTTATGATAGTTTATGCATTGGACATGCCCACTGAATATCTCATAAAATCAACCCAATCCTTTTTTTATACTTCATCCTTTGCTAAAAAAAATTACGATGGGCTTTTAGAGTCACCCTTGGTGACTTCACTTTCAACTTGGCAGTGCTGTGAACTGGCATGTGACAGGTGCTCTCCACTGCACACTTCTCATTTTCCTAAATCATTTGCTTTTAATGAAAGGCTAAGGAAGAACATGTGGCAGGTGAGAGAGCATCTTTGCCCTCTGACTCCCAAACTATATTATGTCTCTTGGCAAAGAGACTGGTTTGAAAAGTAAGACTGTTGGTCTGAATTGTTTGTAACAAAATTTTGTCCGTTTCCTTAGTGGAAAACCAGCCACAAAATTTCAAGGAAACAGTGTGAAATAAAAATAGCAGGCCCGTTATTCAAAAAGTATTAACAATTTCAAGACAGCAAACTGTTAAACCAAGTGCAGAGCCCTGAGAGGGGGCCCTGTGTGCTGCACAAACGCCCACCCTTGAAGGCGGCCTTGCCCTGGTGTAAGCTTGCTGGCACGTGCTCTGCAGTTAGGTGAAAGGGTGTTTCAGGAATGCTCCGATGCCCTCAGACATGTACAGGACACAGGGTGCAGCCAGTGGAAGGGTTAAACCCCTGACATACCGATGTCAGTGTGAGCAAGGCTTCAAGTGACATGTGCTTCAGATGGGATGCTCTCCCCAACCTGAGTGTTCCCTCCTCTTCTCCTGTGATATGTACTGGCTGCATATTTTCATAGTCCTGTACTGCTCTTACTTTATACCATGACTTCTTCCACGTTTGCATTTGTCTTTGTTTCTCAGACGTGGTGTTTTGTGTCTTCTTTTTTCAGTGTCGCTCTCAGGGCCTCTAGGCCACAGTGCCCCCTTTTGGTGTTTCCATACATATTTGCTGATTTGACTTGTCACATTGTATTTGACACAGACACGGAAATAAGAACTTAGTCTAGTAAAGTAATGAACGTGTTTTCTTAGGTAATTTAAGTTTGCCACTGGAGGTAATAAAAACCCCACTCCAAACACCGGAAGCAAAAAGAGAGACTTTGTTTAGATGGTCAAACCACAGAAGAGCAGGATGGAAGGTGGCTGTGGGTGCCTGAGTGCGGAAATCCTAACTAACCACAGCTGTGCAGGGCAGGTTGAGGGGGCTGTTGTCAGGTGTGTCTCTACCTGCCACCCTCCACCTGTCTTTTAAATGCCCCCTCTTCCTCCTCTCCTCTCTCTCCTCTATCTCTCTCATCCTCACTCTCTCACCCTCTCTCCCCTTCCAGCGCCCTCCCTCCCACCCGCTCTGTGCTCCAGCCTAACTTCCAGGCCAGGCTGTTTCTTTATGAGTGGACCCCTGGCCGTCAGTCCAGCCATGGCTCACATTCTCCTAACTCAGGAGGAGCGGGCATTCTCCACCCTGTAGAATGACTCCAGGGAGGAACTCCAGAGGAGTCATGCTCATCTTTGGATCAGCCACAGTGGCCAGAGGCATGGATACCGTGGTTGGTTCAGCGGTTCACAGACACAGTCCTGCAGCCAGAGGGGAGTGTTGCCATGGTCGACAGTCTCGTTCTCAGCACTGTCACTGGAGTTAGGGAGAGCAGTTGCCCAAAGAAAGTAAATAATAATCTACTAGCCCTAATTTATTAAGCCTTTAAAGGTAACCTGTGTAATTAGCAGAATGCCCTAGCATGGTAGAAATAACCCAAAAGTGGTTTAATGGTGTGGTTGAAGTTTTCTTTTCTGATCAAGTTTTTCTTGCTCTAATTTGGGAAGTATACATTGAATAATATGTTTAAGGTTGTAAATACTCTATAAAATGTCCTCATCCCATTCTTTCTAATTGGTGGTTGAGTACAGAGTGGTAGCAACATATTTTCTGACTTTTCCTAATGACTCGCATGAGTTAGTAGATGTATTTCTTGAAATGGTGAACTTCTAGTCTATGGTGAAAAGGTCTGCTGTCCTTCTTATTGATGTGGTGTGGAAAACATGAGCATTTGAGTTAGCTCTCCCTCTTGCCCACTTGAGTCTTAGGAAGGCATGCTTTCTTTTTTTTTAAAAGAGTTTTTTGATGTGGACCATTTTTAAAGTCTTTATTGAATTTGTTACAGTATTGCTTCTGTTTTGTGTTTTGGTTTTTTGGCCACAAGGCATGTGGGAAGCTTAGCTGCCCCACAAGGGATGGAACACGTAGCCCCTGAATTGGAAGGTGAAATCTTAACCACTGGACTGCCAAGGAAGTCCCAAGGCATGGTTTCAAAGTCAGCAAAATGGAGACAGTAATACCTGTTCTGCAGTGAGACTGTGTAACTAAATGAGGTTATATATTAGAGTATGTAGCACAGTGTCTCCATGCTAGATGCTCAATGGCTGTTTCTTCATCGTTTAATATAAATGATGTCCTGATCATGACAATACACAAGGTCATGTGACATTCTGGTAAGGCGTGTTAAGAACACATCTGTATGAGACCTGAACCAAGATGCTGGAGTAGAAGGATGTGCTCTCACTCCCTCTTGTGAGAACACCAGAATCACAACTAGCTGCTGGACAATCATCGACAGGAAGACACTGGAACTCATGAAAAATGATACACCACATCCAAAGACAAAGGAGAAGCCACAATGAGATGGTAGGAGGGGTGCAATCACAGTAAAATCAAATCCCATAACTGCTGGGTGGGTGACTCACAGACTGGAGAACACTTATACCACAGAAGTCCATCCACTGGAGTGAAGGTTCTGAGCCCCACATCAGGCTTCCCAAGCTGGGAGTCCGGCAACGGGAGGAGAAATTCCTAGAGAATCAGACTTTGAAGGCTAGTGGGATTTGATTGCAGGACTTCGACAGGACTGGGGGAAACAGAGACTCCACTGTTGGGGGTCACATACAAAGTAGTGTGTGCATCAAGACCCAGGGGAAGGAGCAGTGACCCCACGGGACATTGAACTAGACCTACCTGCTGGTGTTGGAGGGTCTCCTGCAGAGGCGGTGGGTGGCTGTGACTCACCGTGGGGACAAGGACACTGGCAGCAGAAGTTCTGGGAAGTACTCCTTGGTGTGAGCCCTCCCAGAGTCCACCATTAGTCCCACCAAAGAGCCCAGGTAGGCTTCAGTGTTGGATTGCTTCAGGCCAAACAATGAACAGGGAGGGAACCCAGCCTCACCCATCAGCAGTCAAGCAGATTAAAGTTTTACTGAGCTCTGCCCATCAGAGC